CGGCCCTACCGACCGCCCAAGCCGCCCCGTCCGCCCAGTCCCCAGCTGCCACCCAGCGAGGGCTTCAGCATCAAGTCTCTGTTGGAGGGCGCCGGGGAGGGAGCGCCCCGAAGCAGCCACGGTGGAGCGGGTGCCCTTCCAAGTAAGGAGGAGGTGGTGCCCACACCACCCGTGCCCCCTGAGCGGCCGCTGTGGCCCCTCTGCCCCCTCCCAGGGATCATGAGGCCCGAGGGGGAGACTACCCAGGGGAGAGCTAGCAGGCCTTCACCCCTCTGCCCTGAGGCCAGGGCCTGGCCCCTCCACTTGCTGCAGGGTACCTCCGACCCTGGGGGTCACAGGGCTTCACTGTGGGGGCAGCTCCCCACCTCCTACTTGCCCATCTATACCCCCAACGTGGTAGTGCCCTTGGCACCGCTACCACCCGCCTCCTGTCCCCAGTGCCCGCCCTCATCCAGCCCAGCCTACTGGGGCGTGACCCCTGAAACCCACAGCCCCCCAGGGCTGCTCTGGGATCTAGATGCCCTATTCCAGGGGGTGCCACCCAACAAGAGCATCTATGATGTGTGGGTGAGCCACCCCGGAGAACTGGCCGCCCCCACCCCGGGCTGGCTGCTCTCCTGGTACAGCCTGTGAGCTCCAGGGCAGGGGCTAAAAAAATCCCTGCTGCCACTGGCTTGTTGAGGGGACCAAAGGCCAACGGGAGTCAGAAGTGTGGCCACAGTGGCCTGGAAACACCAGGCACCAGCCACTGTGAGAGTCTACCATGTTTATTGGGCCACCCCACAACGGGTGTGTCAACCCCGCCCTGATGGTCAGGCCCCTGCTACCCCCAGCGGCAAGGCTGGGAGGAGTGGCACTGCCGGAGTGGCCTTTCCTGTCCCTTCCTAGTCCCACCTTCTCTGGCCTCTTCTGTCCGTCCGTCCATCCATCCATCACCATCTGCCACCTCCCTCTCCTGGCTCCGGGGTTGGGGGAGGGAGGACTTAAATGGCAGCTCAGCCTGAAGCCCTCACATTCCTCAACTGTCTGGGCCGAAGGTGGCACCTTTTTGGGGAAAGGCATAGGGGAACGGGGACCCGACCTAGTGTGGGTGGTGTCGTGGGGGAGAGAACAGTAAAGGAATGGACCGCATTTTAATGGCAAGACTGATGTTTGGTGCGGGGCAGTGATTGTGATGACTCGGAAACCAGTAGGCCAGGCCCGGCTGCTCTGGGGTCCCCTGCTGCGTAGGCGATAGCAGCAAATGGCGATAAGGAGGGAGCCGGGGCCTGGGCCTGGCTGAGGGCGGGCAATCTGAACTGGGGCGAAACACTCCTCGCCGGGAGGGGGTGAGACAGCTCTGGGAGTTTGGGAACCAGTGAGCCCCGGAGGTCAAAGGTGGTAGGAGTGTCGGGGTGTTGCTGCCTCCGCCGGCAGAGGGCGCAACCCCAGACTCCTGGCCCTGACTACGAGAGCAGGTCCTCAGGGGACCCGGGAGCCGAGCCGTCGGGGCCGGGGCTGGCAGGGCTTCCCGGGGACGGTGTCGGGGTGCAGAGGGTCCCAGTGAGCGGCGTGTCTGTGCTCAGGGAGGAGGGCGTCCCCGAGCGAAAAAAACGCCGGCCCCAGCTCCACGCGGCCCACTCGCTCCGCGAACTTGAGCGAGCACACGGTCTCGCCGAGATCCTCGGGCCGCGTGGAGATCTGCAGGGGGGAGCGTGCGGTGGGCGGGGCCTGGCATGCAAATCTCCCCCAAGCGGTGCTGGTGGGCGGGGCCTGGCATG